TCACAGATGTAGTTTTGAGATAATGAAATCCTTATGTTAACTAGAAATTTTGGATCCAGGTCTATGTGGTCCGGGACATACCGCAAAGTTTCAAGGATAATTCATATCATGGAATTTCACGCCTCTCAAGCTGAAATAAAATCCCTCCCGCTTTCCACCCCTACACATGCACACATTCTACTCTCCTTGCCCCCAGAAAGAGTAGAGATGCAGGAATAAATCACAGTTTCTCGGAGCTTCAATTTTATTTGAAGTCTCAACTTCTGGGAGCTTCAATTTGATTTGAAGATTTGGGCACAAAAAGTTCATATTGTAACACAATATGAAATAACTTACATAATGAGTTCTAATAATGAAATAAACATGGATATATTCTGAGATAGAGTGTAAAATTTGAATGTGTTTTTGAGGATAAAATAGAAACTTCAAAAAGATTGCTTCTAGACCCAGTGCTTCTACCACACTCCTGTCTGTTAGGGGCCATCAGTGGAAATGGTTGAGGAGATCTCTGATGCGTATTGGCTGCCAGGCACCTTCAACACCGAAGGTGCTGTGTAAGTAGAATGGGAACAAGCAGTGCATTAACGTGGTTCATCTTCATGCAGGTCTTTCAGTTGCAACCCGGTTTATCTCTCAGGAGTACTTTCCTTGCACAGTTCCTGCTCGTCCTTCATAGAAAAGCCTTGACACTAATAAAATACATAGAAGATGATACGTGAGTAAAATTCCTATGTGGAAGAAAAACCTTTGCTTTGGATGTATTCTATATTATAATTTTCTTTTTGTTTAATTTTTTCATTATTTGTAGGCAGAAGGGAAAAAAGCCCTTTAAATCTCTTCGGAACCTGAAGATAGACCTTGATTTAACAGCAGAGGGCGATCTTAACATAATAATGGCTCTAGCTGAGAAAATTAAACCAGGCCTACACTCTTTTATCTTTGGAAGACCTTTCTACACTAGTGTGCAAGAACGAGATGTTCTAATGACTTTTTAAATGTGTGACTGGACAAGTACACTTCATCACAATCATGATTGCTGCTAAAGTAGCTCAGTGGTTTGGGGTAAACATCACTTCCCCAGGTCTTGCCGCCAGAGTCCTAGTCAGCAATTGCAGTTAAAGTTAGTTACACTACAGTCGTCACGAGAGTCTGTAAGGGGGTGTCAAGTGCATCATTACATTGGATGTCTCTTTTCCTAAATTTACTCTCTTGGGATACAGACTTATGTTTACAATTATAATAAATATTCTTGCTATCTTTTAAAGATATACTAATAGGATATAAACTTGACCACAACTACTGTTTTTTGAAATTTACGATTCATAGTTTACATGTATCAAAGTGAAATCTGAGTTACCTTTCACAGATTTAATACTGGTTGACCTCCCGTCTTTGGGTGTTCCTGGGTGCGTGGGATTACTGTAATACTTCTGCAATCAGCTGAAAATTAGAGCATTTAAATCATTTCGGTTCTGCAGAAAGGAAGTTAGCTTGAACACAGGTTAAGCTTTAGAAAGAAAATATTAATCAAGCAGATGTTTAATTGAAATGAATTATTAGATCCTATTTTGTAGACTTAGTCCTTGGAATTCAGTCTGTGCAGAAATGCCAAGCAGTTATGTACAGTCCCTGATTATGGAGAACCACAGTCAGGGTGTCTTTTGTTTGTTTTATTGTTACTGCTGTTGTCAATATCCTGTATAGTTGAGCTCTGTCCAGAAAAATACAGGAAATTGTATTTTATGTTTTAGTAGTTGTTGCCAACTTTTTTAAAGTTAATTTCCATTATTTTTGAGCCAAATTGAAATGTGCACCTCCTGTGCCTTTTTTTTTTTCCTTGGAAAATATAATCACTTGGTAGAGGTTGAGATTTCACTGGTCAGTCATTTCCATCCTGTCCTTCTTGCAGAGTCTTACCAATGTACGGGATTTGGCGATCACTGCAACTGGGATTATAAAATGCATTAGGGAATATACTAACTAATAAGATCTTTTTTAAGGAACATAAAACAGTTCTTTGTCTTCTTCCCTGTTATATCTCTGCCCATATTTTTGAAGTCGTTGCCAGGTTGCCTGCATCACATAAAGAGTAACAGGAGACACTTTACTAAAGTGCTATTTTTCTAGGTGCTACTTTGGCAGAACTTAGTGGTCTGTTTCATTTGTTTCCTTAATGTGTTTGGACCATTTTTCTGGCTGTGAAATAACTGATTAACATAATTCTTTGCTAAAACCGTGTTGACATAGTATTGTACACAACACAAATATTTTTTATTTAAAACTGTGGAAGTAACTTGAAAGGGAAAATATATTTATAAAAAAGGGATAAAGTGATAGAGCCCTTCTTCCCTCTGCCACCAAATTTAATGAAAAGACACATTCTATTCTGAAAGGTCATAATAGCTTTCACACCATGAATCAGAAAGAAGTAGACATCTTGATTTTTAGACAAACACTGAGCTAGATGACTGATAAACTATAACTCAGTCATGAAAAAATATATAGATACCGCCTCGTAGTGTCCCATATTCAATGCTTTGTACACAAGAGATTCTTATCTAAGTGTTCTTTTCTTTTGCTAGTTTATTGTACTGTTATACAGAATGTAAGTTGTACAGTGAAATAAGTTATTAAAGCATGTGTAAACATTGTTACATATCTTCTCTCCTAGATGGAGAATTCCGAATAAAATATCTTTGAAATTTTGTCTCTTTCAGTTATTTGTTCAGGTAAAGCACTACTATGATATTAGAAGACTGATCCACTTCCTGTTCAGCTAATAATCATGCTGGATCTAAACTATTTTTTAAAATTAATTTTTTGGCTGGGCATGGTGACTCACACCTATAATCCTAGCATTTTGGGAGGCCAAGACAGGAGGATCATTTCAGCCCAGGGGTTCAAGACCAGCCTAAACAACAAAGTGAGACCCCATCTGTACAAAAAACTTTTTTAAAAAATTAGCCAGATATGGTGGTGCACACCTGTAGTCCCAGCTACTCAGGAGGCTGAGGCAGGAGGATCTCTTGACCCTAGGAGTCTGAGGTTGCAGTGAAGGATTAAAAGGATTTAAGTCATACAAAGTATGTTCTCTGACCACAATGGAATTAAATTATAAACCAAAAACAGATATCTGGGAAAACCTCAAAAACTTGGAAACTAAATAATGCTTTTAAAAGATCAGATAATTATGTGTGTTTGGGGGACAGTAGGAAATAGCAAAAAGGAGGTATCAGAGCATTGTGGAATGATTTCTATTAATATGAAGAGTGGAACTCAATCTGCCTTTGATGTTTCCCCACTACGGCCCATTGTTCACATGGGTAACAGCATGATCCTCCTAAAATTAAACCTGATGACCACTTCTGCTTAATGGCTCTCCAAAATTAAGTCCAAAATCCTAGCACACAGTTCTGTTCATCCTTCTAACCTTACTTGCCACCAGGCTGCCTAGTACGTATTTCTTCTGTTGCGTTTGTTGCACTTTTCTTTTGCTTGTCTATCTGCCCAGGTAGGCTAGAGAACAAGATTCTTGTCTTTTTCATTTTTGTATCTTGGTGCTTAGCATGATGTTTTACAAAGCATGTTTCCTGTAAATGTTAGCTGAATGAATGTAGTGAGCATATTAAACATTCATTTTTTGTCCGCTCCAAAAAGAATCATTTCCTATAAATTGAGGAAATTCCTTTCTTTCTATAATCAGAAATTTTTCCCCAAAAAATCCTTCATTAAAATTGAGCCTATGCACAACCCAGCTCTAAAATTTCAAAGACCTCGGGCAATGATTTTCAATCTTTTTGAAGTATTAATACCCTATCATTTTCTGTTTCTGCGTTTGTGCCTCACTATCTCATCTCTTGCTGAAATATTCTTTTTAAATTAATTGCTTGATAAATTGCTGAGCACTTTTCATCAGACCAATTAGGACAATGGTAAGTGTCCTTCTGAGGAGTGTGGACATTCAAGAAATCTGATCCAGTATTTGGAAAATCATTCCTGAGCTCAGAGTTGGCTCAAACTGGCACCTTCTGGCATTTGCTTGTGGGTGGGGAATGTGGAATGCTTTGAAAGCTGAATGGGTTTGTCAAGTTTTAAAATTCCCTTATGGCTAAAGGAAAACAGCATTCATTGTTTAAAAACACCATTGTTTGTTTTTTCTTCTTTTCTGTTCTTTGGAGCCTGAATCTGCAAAAACACTCACACCCAGCATTTTGCTTCATGTAATTCTCCTAAGAATTCTAGAGACGTGAGTAGTGTGGAAACGTTTTCATTGTGATTGTTCATAATGCTCATAACAAATGGTAAAAAGTCAGTTTTAATGTTCATACTGAATTTTATGGAGAAGGATCATACTTCTTTTTATCTCTGTAGGCAGATGTTAGAGCATTGGTCCTGGAACCAGACTTCCAAGGCTCAAATCCTTGTTTTTGCACTTCCTAGCTGTGATCTTAGATGAGGTATTTAACCTCTGTGCTGCCTCAGTATCCTCATCTATTCTTTAAGAACAGAACCTACCTCATAGGGTTGCTTGAAGATTAAGAATGCTTGGAAGGGTAACTGGCACAGAGTAGCACACGATAAAATTGTGTCGTGGCTAATATCATTATTATAGTTGTCATCCTTGTTAAGCAATTAAATGTAGAGTTCCCAAACCTGATTATTTAAACCACAGCATTTCTATAGCCATGATTCTAGTCGACACCACCTCAGCAGCAAGATTTGTTTTCTTAGCTTGAGCCCACCACTGCCTCATTGCACATAGTAGAAACAGAGTGTTGCCTTAGGCAAAAATTATTGTAGAAAATGAGAGAGGGTGCCTGAGAGGAACTCTCCAGAGGCCTCACCCCGCTTTTCAGGTCTGTCCACTTTACTCCGTCTCCACTGCCACTGTTAAGACCTCATCATTTCTCATCCAGATTAATTCAGCAGCTTTGGTCTCCGTGGTTTCACTGGCTATCGACCCCCTTCCCCTTGCCCAGCCCATTTTCTCCACTTAAGTTAGAGTAATCTTTCTAATATGCAAGTCCTGACTCACTTGCTATAAAAAACCCTGAGTGACAACCTCAACACACAAGAAAAACCTACAATCCAAGGTGAGGCACAGGGGACACCCTTCCAACTTTTTCTCTCACTGCTCGTACCCTCATGAGGAGCCCAGATTAACTCTGTAGTTTCCCCCAGCTCACCTTGGTTGTATCACTGGGCCAGTGCATGTGCTGCTCCCACTGCCTGGGGTTCTCGCCCTCTCCTCACTGGGATGAGCTTTACATATCAGTCAGGATGCGCCTTTAGGTGTGTGTCCACTTGTTTCCAGGGCCCACCCCTCACTCCAGATGGAGAACATTTCAGACTTTAAGCTCCATCAGACAGGACCTTGTCTAAGAACTAGCTTATACCCAATTGCCTGGCACATAACATCTTTATTAAATATATGTTTGGGTTAATTACCCTCAGAGCTCTTGTTAGTTTCTGTTCTTATAGTTCTAGCATAGCACTCACAGCATTACTATGATGGATTTGTTTATGTCTTCCATTAAGACTGTGAGGTCCACAAGGCTGGTTCCTTGTCTTATACATCATTGTATCCCCAGCTTCCAGCATAGCGCTTGCCGTGAAACAGGAACTCAGTAAGTTTTGAATGAATGAATAGTATCTACATACCATTAATCTCAGGTTTAAAGTTGCCCCAAATTCTAAAGCAGGAGGATTTATGGAACGCCCTCAACCCCAACCCGGCAGTTCTTGGTGGTTATCCCAGTGATACCACTGAGATTTTAAGGAAAAGTTTGCATGTACAAAAATGTACATTTTTTTGGGTGGCAGGTTTTTTCCACAGCCTTTGTCATAAGTTTTTCTGTAGCCTTTCTCAGATTCTCAAAGAGCTCTCTGATTCCCTGAAAGATAAGAATGCATGTCCTAAAGAGTTATTTTTAAAAATCAGTTGCTAAATAAAATGTTTGCAAGGTAGCTTGATGAATCATTTCAGGCCATTTGACCTGGACGAGATGGAGGGTTTGTGCCTCCACAACCTGGCTGCCTCCAGCAGTCTCTCTGCTGCTGGACTGTGGCAGCTCTAGTTGGCAGCAGGGGATGTTTCTTCTGGATGCATATCCAGCTGTGGTCCCCCCCGACACAAACCTGTAGGAGCAGTTTGAGATTCGTGCGCTTGTTTTTCGTGGTTCTAGGTGCATCAAGGATTTATTATAAGCTGCTGGAACCAGCACCATATAGTGTGTTAATCCAGAATTCAGGGAATTAAGAGGTTTTTTGTTCAAAGCTGAGAACCTTCTTTGATCCACTTTAGCTAGACATTTTCCCTGGCTTCCATCAATAGCTTTGGCATTTTTTTCTGGCCTAGACGCACACAAACAAGAGGAGACTAGAGTTTCTCTAAGGAACTAAGAAAAAGCACATTTTAAAAATAACTCGAGCAAATGAATTCATCTGGCAAAAGCAACCAGGCTACGTAAAATAAACTTCTTTAGAATTTCGCAATAGCAGTTCCTAAA